AATACAATGGTTGCTGATGACACGATAAATAAATAAACCCATGCCTAAGAAGCGTGTCACCAACATGAAAAGTTTAAAAAGCTCCAGTCCATGGTTCGGAGGAGGTCAATACGCTCATTGATGTGTTCAAGCCATTCCTTGCAATCCAGAAGCCTGGATTTGCACTCGCTCCCCGTTTGCGAACGTTGCTCAGCCTTCCTCGCAGCTGCCCTGTTTTCCCCTGTTATGACAGTGTGTGTGTCCCTGTGACCTACTTGGGCACTCTTCTGGCAAAAGGATGCGCCGATGATGTGCCTCACGTCTCTGCCAGCGTGCGCCTTCCCCCCTTCTGCGTGTGTCTCATCTGCTTCCCCGTTTTTGCAACAAAGATGCTTCAGAGACGGGTCAGAACTGGGGAAGGGGGTCCCTCTCCCTCCAAACAAAAGAAACCTGTGCCGAGGAGAACAATGGATACTAGGCGCTCTTATGAGGGCACTTTGGACGGGAGCCACATGCGCTGCAGCGGGAGGCCATAGTCAAGCAAGTAAATAAATCTGGACTCATTTCTTTGCACAGCTGCTGACCAGCACAGCTGTGTTTTCTAGAGGGAAGCGTAGCCTTGGGTATTTCTGTCTGCGTTTCTCTTTTGGGCAGGATTGACCCATTTTCTTGACTTGGGAGTAAAAAGATTGAGGTCAACTTCCATAGAACTTTAAAATATATTGATTTTAGCACTAACATATAGCAGAATATCACGTTCTCATAACTTGGGAAAGGGAAGATTAAGGCTGCATTAATTTATTTATTTGTCGTGTCATGGCGACCAGTCAATTATATTACATTTCTAACAGAACAAAGCAAACAAACAGACAAAATACAAAATTTGCAAGTTTGGTAGTTGATTAAATGTCCTTTGACCAGTATCTGGCCACTTGGAGCGCTTCTGGTGTTGCCACAAGGAGGTTCTCCATTGTGCATGTGGCAGGGCTCAGGGTGCATTGCAGCAGGTGGTCAGTTGTTTGCTCTTCTCCACACTCACATGTCGAGGATTCCACTTTCTGGCCCCATTTCTTGAGGTTGGCTCTGCATCTCGTGGTGCCAGAGCGCAGTCTGGCCTTCCAAGTCGCCCAGTCCTCTGTGTGCCCAGGGGGGAGTCTCTCATTTGGTATCCGCCACTGGTTAAGGTTCTGGGTTTGAGTCTGCCACTTTTGGACTCTCTTGCTGAGGTGTTCCAGTGTCTCTGTAGATCTTAGAAAACTATTTCTAGATTTAAGTCGTTGACGTGCTGGCTGATACCCAAACGGGATGAGCTGGAGATGTCTCTGCCTTGGTCCTTTCACTATTGGCTGCTACTTCCCGGCGGATGTCAGGTGGTGCAATACCGGCTAAGCAGTGTAATTTCTCCAGTGGTGTAGGGCGCAGACACCCCGTGATAATGCGGCATGTCTCATTAAGAGCCACATCCACTGTTTTAGCATGGTGAGATGTGTTCCACACTGGGCATGTATACTCAGCGGCAGAGTAGCATAGCGCAAGGGCAGATGTCTTCACTGTGTCTGGTTGTGATCCCCAGGTTGTGCCAGTCAGCTTTCATAGTGCAGAGGCGGCCCTAGGTAATTTTCAACGGTAAGCAAACAGTATTTTGGCGCCCCCCCCCCCCCCAAAACCAATCACTGATATATATTTTCTGTTCGTCGTGGGAGTTCTGTGTGCCATATTTGGTTCAATTCCATCATTGGTGGAGTTCAGAATGCTCTTTGATTGTAGGTGAACTATACATCCCAGTAACTACAACTCGCATATGTCAAGGTCTATTTTCCCCAAGAGCGCCTCAAGAGCGCCCCTGGGCAAAATCAACTATACTGCGAATGCTTACTTTGCGTAATGGTTGAGCCGCCCCTGTTCGTATGATATTGATAGAACTTTAAAATATATTGATTAACTTTTAGCACTAATGTATAGCTGAATATAACCTTCTCATAACTTGGGAAAGGGAAGATTAAGGCTGTATTAATATTAATATGTAATTTTTGGTAGTGATAATTGTTTACTGTTGGTTTTTGTTTACTGTTTATATTATTTTCTGTATCTATGAATTGCTGTAAACCTCCCTGAGTCCCTTCAGGGAGAGAGGATAGGGTATAAATAAAGATTATTTGATACACAACAATAGTGCACAGCAAACAAGATTACTATTCTGGGTTTTGTATTTGATCACACGTCCGACCCTTCCCAAAAAGCCAATGGGATTTTGGCCTGCATCAATAGGAGCCTAGTGTCTAGATCTAGGGAAGTAATGCTACCCCTCTATTCTGTTTTGGTTAGACCACATCTGGAATATTGTGTCCAATTCTGGGCACCACAATTCAAGAGAGATATTGACAAGCTGGAATGTGTCCAGAGGAGAGCGACTAAAATGATAAAAGGTCTGGAGAACAAGCCCTATGAGGAGCGGCTTAAGGAGCTGTGCATGTTTAACCTGAAGAAGAGAAGGCTGAGAGGGGATATGATAGCCATGTATAAATATGTGAGAGGAAGCCACAGGGAGGAGGGAGCAAGCTTGTTTTCTGCTTCCTTGGAGACTAGGATGCGGAACAATGGCTTCAAACTACAAGAGAGGAGATTCCATCTGAACATGAGGAAGAACTTCCTGACTGTGAGAGCCGTTCAGCAGTGGAACTCTCTGCCCCTGAGTGTGGTGGAGGCTCCTTCTTTGGAAGCTTTTAAACAGAGGCTGGATGGACATCTGTCAGGGGTGATTTGAATGCAATATTCCTGCTTCTTGGCAGGGGGTTGGACTGGATGGCCCATGAGGTCTCTTCCAACTCTTTGATTCTATGATTCTATGGAGGAGGGAGCAAGCTTGTTGATCCGAGCAGGGTGGCCTTTTGCAGCTGACAGATAGTAATTTTGTCAGCACTGATTGTGTTTAAGTGCAGGCCAAGGTCTTTAGGCACTGTACCCAGTGTGCCGATCACCACTGGGACCACCTTGACTGGCTTGTGCCAGAGTCCTTGCAGTTCAATCTCTAAATCCTTGTATCGTGTCAGCTTTTCCAGTTGTTTCTCTTCAATCCTGCTGTCGCCTGGAATTGCAATATTGATGATCCATACTTGTTCTTCCCCCATGATCATGAAGTCAGGCCTGAGGCTGTTAGGAATGGTGGGAGCTGAAGTCCAAAACACCTGGAGGGCCAAAGTTTGCCCATGCCTGCTATAAACCACCCTGGATAAATGCAAAATGCCGTTTTATCGTTCTACTAATAGCAAAAATGGGAAATGGAGCAAAATATGGAACATATTCAGGGCTGAGCATGACCTATTTTTATTTCATGTGCTCCTGTGCTCTAGCCATTTGGGTGTCTTCGGTTACCGTCCCTGTCTCCATTTAAATTACATTATTTTTTTCCTTTTGCAATATTTCTCAACTGGGTGGGCTGTATCACATCTCCCTTCCCCTATTTTTCTCGCTGCTGCTTTGTTGGTGGATTTATTTTGCCTTCACGCAGGTGTCAAATTCAAGCAAAAGAGAAAAGGAATTCTGGGCTTTAGCTCAACAGTTATCATTGCCACTCAAGGCATGGATCTGCACTGGGGAATTAATGCAGCTTGGCGTTAATGTGAAACACTGTGGTATACTCTGATTATCTCAGATCAAAAATGATTTGAAGGCACACAAACAACAACATGTGAAAGGGTCTTCATTGCAGCCTTTCCAAGGGACCATCCACATGTTTTGACAGTACTTCAACAATCTTATCTGAAAGCTCTAACTTTCTAAGCCAAAGAATTCTGGTGCCTCACCAAACTTTACTTACTTTACTTACTTAGGCGATTCCTCGTTGTCCAACTAGGATAGTCTTCCAAGATACTGGTGGGTCCGTAGGTGACTGTGGAGCCCTATTCTTGATCTGCATCTCCTCCCTCATTGTTCTTCTGCATCTTCTCCCGCATCAGTTTCCAGATGGAAGGCGGTCCCGGTGAGGATTGGATTGATGCACCTTCCTCTTGGTACGTTTCTCTCTTTCGCCCGCCATTTGTACCTCTTCATATTCCGCAGCACTGCTGGTCACAGCTGACCTCAAACCGAAGAACCCAAGGGCCAGGGCTTCCCAGTTCTCGGTGTCTATGCCAGAGTTTTTAAAGTTGGCTTTGACCCTGTCTTTCCAACTCTTTTCCTGCCCACCAAAATTTCGCTTTCCGTTCTTGAATTCAGAGTAGAGCAACTGCTTTGGGCATCCGGACAACGTGGCCAGTCCAGCGCAGTTGATGGCGGAGGACCATCGCTTCAATGCTGCTGGTCTTTGCTTCTTCCAGCACACTGACATTTGCCCGCTTGTCTTCCCAAGAGATTTGCAGGATTTTTCAGAGGCAATGCTGATGGAATCATTCCAGGAGTCGCATGTGACGTCTGTAGACAGTCCACGTCTCGCAGGCATATAGCAAGGTTGGGAGGACAATAGCTTAATACAGATAACCCTGTTGCTCGGCATGACTTCTTTCAAAGACAAAATCCACGCCAGAGGCAGAAATAACACGGAAAGAAGAGGGATAGATTTCTACAGGTGCATCTACACTATAGAATTAACACAGTTTGACATCCCTTTAATGCTAAGGAAGTTGTAGTTTTCCATCTGAACATGAGGAAGAACTTCCTGACAGTGAGAGCCGTTCAGCAGTGGAACTCTTTGCCCTGGAGTGTGGCGGAGGCTCCTTCTTTGAAGCTTTTAAACTGAGACTGGATGGCCATCTGTCAGGGGTGCTTTGATTGTGATTTTCCTGCTTCTTGGCAGGAGGTTGGACTGGATGGCCCATGAGGTCTCTTCCAACTTTATGATTCTATGAATGTTGCAATTAGCAAGCTTGATTACCATTGAGTAGCCTTGCAGTTGCAAAGTCAATCGATGAGAGTATCTGCATAGAGATAGCCTAGCTGTAGTTGTCTGGAGGCACCCTCTGTTTGGAAAGCGTTACCTGGCCCTTGACTGCTTGTTGTCTAGAGTTCTCCTGTTTCTGAGCGGTGTTGCTTTTTACTGACCTGATTTTAGAGTTTTGCTAATACTGTTAGCTAGTATATTGTCTAAGGCTTTCATGGCTGGAATCACTGGGTTGTTGTAGGTTTTTTCGGGCTGTATGGCCATGTTCTAGAGGCATTCTCTCCTGATGTTTTGCCTGCATCTATGGCAAGCATCCTCAGAGGTAGTGAGGTCTGTTGGAACTAGGAAAATTGGGTTTATATATCTGTGGAATGACCAGGGTGAGACAAAGGACTCTTGTCTGCTGGAGCTAGGTGTGAATGTTTCAACTGACCACCTTGATTAGCATATAGTAGCACAATCCAGGCACAGTCAGCCCATTGTATGCTAATCAAGGTGGTCAGCTGAAACATTCACACCTAGCTCCAGCAGACAAGAGTCATTTGTCTCACCTTGGTCATTCCACAGATATATAAACCCTTTTTCCTACTTCCAACGGACCTCACTACCTCTGAGGATGCTTGCCATAGATGCAGGCGAAACGTCAGGAGAGAATGCCTCTAGACCAT